TTGGCTGACGCCTCCGTAGAAGCGGCAAAAGTAGAACATTGCTCTACTTTTGCAGTGATCACCGCAAGAAAAGCTACGCTTTGCTCCCACAATGCAGTTCGGTGAAGCGTGACTTCACCCCATTCAAAATGAATGGGCAGAAGCGTTGAAGCGTCAACGCACGCCGCCGTGTCTAGGAGCCAGTGTAGGTGTAAACACGGCGGCGTGCGTTGCCGCTTGGCAGTGGGCGTGTCTTGAGCTTGGTGAGTTTACGTTAGCAACGCGACCAACAACCAATCACATGAATCTCTCCTGTCAATTGCATAAAAGGTTTTACATGTCACACTTTATATGATGAACATTTATGACATTAATGTCTATGGTGCTATTTTACGCAACATTCCATGCTGGCTAAATACTGTCTATGTTTGCTAGCTGTCCATTCAAACGAAGTGTACTGGAACTCCAGAAACAGGCGAAAACCTACCAGTTTCACCCACTGTCTCTGCCACCTCCCTCCATGCCTGGCTCCTCCGGTTTGTATCCCGGTAGGTGAACAGGGACTGATCATAAAGCACTGGGTGATTCCCTACCGCTACGATTATTTTCTCCTCCATTTTTTGGCATATGAGGAAATGAACTGTGGTCTGGCTCTCCCAGCATACACGCGGTTTGATTGGCTAGCGCTTGTACTGGCAGATTTGCATAAGCGGGATTTGATTGGCTGACGAGGGAGCCTCCACACGCTGGCTTCAAAAGTAGAACATTGCTCTACTTTTGCAGCGAGCACCGCGAGAAAAGCTACGCTTTGCTCCCACAATGCAGTTCGGCGAAGCGTGACGTCACCCCATTCAAAGTGAATGGACAGAAGCGTTGAAGAGTCAACGCACGCCGCTTAAGGTTTTGTCAGCCAAAGTAGCATTACTTTTAGCGCTGACATCAGCAAAAGGGTGAGTGATTTGTCTGCCCTCTCTGTGGCTCCGTCATGTCTCCGGATCCAAGGAGATGGCAGCTCAGCTGTTTTGTCAGTAGAAGACATTTGCACTGGAGGGGGTTCAACGCCATAGTATTGTGTTTCCCCCAGTTCGTTCATTCAATTTTATTTGAGGGATGTCTCCCATTCCTCTCTGACACCCTGTACTGAGTGTCCTGTCTGAGTGAGAGCACTCTCTCCTTCCTGTCTGCACGCAGAGAGCTGCCCTTGTTCCCCCTCTTTTGTCGCTGGGCAAAGTAGGCGAGCCTCCAGAAGTTCCAGGTTGTATATAATGACTGTTTGCGTATACTGCTTAGAAAACCAAGGTGGTGCAGTGCAAGTGAAATGTTCTGTAATGCACGAGTGAACACGTTCCATGCTCTTTTGAGAAATCTGATGTACAAATTCATCTGTCGATTGAATGTTTCTCATAACTCTGCCATTATGCTGCTGTCAAATCCGTGTTTCAGTGCTGTACGATACCAGTCACCTCTGTGGAAACATTGGTATAACTGTCTTTTTTAATTTATATTTGAATGTTGTATGTCTTGTAATAATGGACCAAGAGTCTCTTTAAATAAAGATGATGATGATGATGTGACCTTTGTCTCTACTTTTTCACAGCGGCAGGGTTGTATTGTTCCTAGCCTTCGTACCCTCATGGAGAATATTCATGTTATGCTATATTCCAGGGACTGTGATATCAGTCGCATGGCGCAATAGGCATGGGTTATTATCTGAGCAGGTGCTTGTGCTTCTAGTACCGGGCGGACCCAGACTACATCATGCTTCGCCCTTAACCTTAATAGCGAAGCCTATACGAAATAGAACTGAAGTTACCTACTGTAACTCCAGCTTCTATGAGTATAGGCATAGCCCTCTAAGTTCTGGGCCCCACGAATAGCTGAAGAAAAGCTATTTATACCGGAAGTGAGTCCGACGGTGGGGCCCACCTTGCAGGTGGGCGTGGAATACAAGTGTTTCCAGTGCTGCGCGGGGTGCACAGGGGATTACCCTACACCTATACTCATAGAAACTGGAGTTACAGTAGGTAACTTCAGATACATAAAGATGTTTTGGCTCAATTTGTATTCATTAAAATAAATAAATAAAATGCCACACAAAATCATTTTATGCATTCACCCAGGCAGGTTTAATGATGAAACAGACATTCAAATATGTATTATTATACTAATATATTCCATCAGTATTACAAATATGACTTTTATTAGGAGGTCTGTTCGAGTGCAACTAACATGAATTAAAAAGAAACCATTGGAATTTAATTTAGTTCAAGTATGAGGCCACAAGATGTTGAAATGCTGCTATTAAATGAATGTATGGAAGCTTTAAGCAACCCACGAGAAATAAGAAAATCTACTCATCTCAATTTAGCATGACAATCTGAAAAAGAAAGGACAGTTGCAGGTATTAGCACAGTTGGATGGTTTGTTAGTGTCACTTTAATGTTGCAGCTGATAGAGGTGGGGTTTATTTAGATTATAAACCCCACCCTGCCTTAACATGCGGAGCAGCATAACCTATAATAGTATATCATAATTTATTGATGAATTAGGTTTTTTAAGTAACCAACTAAAGTTGTAAAAATAAATGGTGTACAACATTTACCTCCAAAACATAGTGTGTAAAGGCATAAAGGAACATCATTTGAAAATACACTGTGGAAGCACAAGATACACATTGACTGAAATACAGTTATTGAACTTGTTAAATTGTAGCCCTACTGTGTGTTTCAAAATGCACAACAATTAGCGTTTTTGACTTTAGCTGTGGATACAAATATATAAACGTATTTATTTTACTCTGGTATTCAAACATGCTGTAAAATATCTTAGTGTTCAAAACCTGTACTGACAACAAAACTCTACATTGTATTGAATGGTTAACTTAAGAACTGAACAGATTTCAATGCTCTTTATTTTGTTGTACATTTTCAATGTTGTTTGGTCAATTTGGTGACAGAAAACAACTGTAAAAACTCATTTGAGTTGGTAAGCTAATACTTCAAGACAATACAATACGTCAAGTATGACACATAAAGGCTTACATAGTATTTCAGAAAACTCATAGTATAGTATGTCGAAAATATGTTAAAAAAAACACCTAGTACATATACTACACTACAGTATGGAACATTTCAGAAGGACACAGTATAGTACAGGTAAACATTGTCATATTATAATATGACAATGTATCTCTAAATGATCAGAAAAAACAACATACTGTTAATACAACCAGGTGCAATAAAGTAAAAAAAAAGTTATACAAAACAAGTACTGCAATAGATTTTTGGGGGTTATAGATGTTTAAAAACAGAATCTTGTTTTAGAGTCTGAGACATAATTGAAGAACATGAATAAGACAGCACAATAAAAGGGACAGAAAAGGCAAGAAAAGGCTAAATACTAGCCTAAAAGAAAAAGTGGGGGCGATCTGTGCCCAAATGATTTGGAATCAGATACTGCAACCTTGTTAGCATCGCAGGCTTATTTCCATATTAACGACCCCTTCAGAACCTTCAAAGTGATGAATAATTGACAACAAGTGAAATGTTTTGATTGTCGTCAGCGCCTGGCGTGTTTAATGTTGCTAATTATGGAGATGGCACATTCGTCAGACATATGTCCCCCTCGCAACCCCTGCGTGACCCTCCCTCCGTCCCCCACAGACAGGGGGAGGTGGGGGGAGGCAGGGGTGCAGACAACCACAGGCCCTGTTGTAATTAGCTAGCAGGGCATGCTCAATGACCTGGTAGAGGGTTCAACGCCATAGTATTGTGTTTCTAAATGTCAACAGTCCTACTTTTCTGTTGTATTGACTGATGGAAGCCATTAAAAAAAAACTGCAAATACTGTTGGACTAAAATCCCCAAAAGGGGGAGATCCTCACTTGTTTAAAGCAGAAACACAATGCTGCATTGACATTACAAAACAGAATTGCTGATTTTTTTTCAGAACACTATAAATACAAAGTATACAGTTGACTAAAATACTACAATAGCTGGTATATGTTCTGCTAAAGAATAAAGTGAAATATGAAATGAACAATGTATGTATATATAAATAATGCAATCATGTGCTAATACCTTGCCAACAAATTGCTCTTGGAGAAGTAATCCAGATATTCTGACAAGTCCTAATGATCAATACAGACATGAAACAGGCCT